AAAATTTGTCAAATAAAGCAAGATAAGTTTGGGAAAAATAACATTATTTTCATAATAATTTTAAATTAATTACATTAATTTTATGTAATATTATTTCATAATGATTTCATTATATATAATTTTTTTCAAATGTAATATATTTTTTAGAGCATTTTTTTCATATAAAATATCAAATATTCAATAGTTATTTAATCTATTAAAAAATATTTGTGCTTTTTATATTCATGTAAATTATATTTTCACATTTTTGATAAGTTTATATCAATTTCTTTTTTCTCAAAATTTTGCACGATTTTGTATAATTGAATTATCATACAAGTGTTTATAACAATGCTAATTTAAGGACACTTAAGAACATTGTGACAGTACGAGCATTGTGAATTGACTATATATCAATAAAGTCCCACTATACGTACATATATACATACATACATATATATACATAGATATTAATTATATTTCAATTAGAATTTCGTGGGCAGCCCTACACAATCTTTGTAGAACTAGTCCAGGGAAAGTGTAAGATACACAAAAATGGCATTCGGATAGTACAAACTGACGATTACTAAACGTTTCCATTGAGTAGTCGAAATTATATATATTTTTTTTATATATTGAATGAAATAATCCTATAAGAAAATACTGAATGCCATTTTGATAGGATTATATTATAATGTTGTGTGTTTTACCATAGAGTGAGTGAAATAAATTTGAAAGAAGGATGTTGAATGAAGATAAATTATTATGGGGCTTCTAAAGAGTTCTTTCTGATATTTTATTGGATATAATTTTTATTTTTGACAAATTTCTGAAATTTTCGAATTATGTACTAATTTTTATTTATTAATATGTGCTCATATAGTGGGACGTAAATAAATAAAGATTTAATTAAATTTAAACAAGATGTTTTATTTATAACATCTTAAATATTTTTAAGATAAAATAAAAAATTTTGTAAAATTTCATATTCTATTGTTACAAATAATAAGAAATATTTAATTTATCATCCTTTTAATATCTTTTATGATGATGTAACGTATTAGATTTTTGTGCAATTCTTAGAATGACACAATTTTTGAAATTACTCAAACAACTGTGTGTGGGATTGTCAAACAATCCTTTTTAGAAGTCCCCTAAAGTGGAAAGTAGTTAGATGGCATGTAATAATGATTCATTAATTATTGAAATCATGCACATCTTATTTAATAATTAATTGTGTATATTGTTGACTTAGACTCGACAGTAGCCAAGAATAACTCGGCACATGACCTATCTTATGCCATATTAGATACCTAGGTACAAAACATTCTGTTAAACATTGTTTATCCATTGTTATGTAATATTTACATGTAAACATTTAGTTCTGTACATTGTTAAGAGACAAAAATTCATACGATAGTTTCTACATAGACTTATATTTTTTAACATTGTGTTAAAATATCCTTTGTAGGTACGTTTTTCATTTAAGATATAAACGACATTGATTAAATACATAATGCCAGTGTATGGGTGATTTCAAGAAAACTGTGATGCAGGTATGTGTAAAGTTAATGAAGCGCGCGCGCGTACGAATAAATAGTTAATAACTTAAAAATTCGCATAGATGAAATTATTTTAGTTTTTAAGCAAATTCCCATACCTTAACAATGTCTACAAAGGATGTTTTGAACGTAAGCATTTGACAAGACACTGTTTTACATGATTGCAAAATGAAGATAATATAATTAATGGTAAAGTGAGGCTGCGCTGAGATATGTCTATGCTGCTGTCCTACACTGTGAACATTCTCTGTTGAGGCTGTGTCGTCCATTTGTCTATGAATAGACAAATTTCCAAATTTATCAGTATATCGAATATTGTCTACCGAGACAATATCTTTGTATTAAATTTCGCATATATGGCCTTACAATTACATAATGAACGTGTAATGTAGATGTATTAAACAACTATAAAGCATATTGGAATTGTTTTGTAGCACTTTATATAACTCTCCATTGTAATATGTTTGCATAAACATCTGAAAAGTACTGCATTAAAAATGTTCAACACAATAGATATGTAACATCCCATATCTGATAGAATTTTCTTTTTTTCATATTGTTTAAAATAGAAAATATTTTAATATTATGTGTGTGTATATACAGAGTGTTCAGCGAAACGATCCGCACGATTTTTTAAACATTTTCGATGGTTAAAGAGAAAGATTGGAAAGTGAATCTGAGCTACAACACGCAATAAAAAAAAATATTTAAAACATATTTTTTCATAAAGAAATCGAAATCTTAAATCTTTTAAATGGCATCATAAAATTTTTTCCATACTGTAAGAATATTCAAAATGGATTCAAATCACTATAAAATAACAAAATATCACTTTTATTGATGTTTTATTGATTTTATTTATACTTTATCAAATATTCACATCATTATTTTTAACAGCAGTATTTACAATCTCTGACTAAACACAAACATAAACATACAAACATGTACGTATAAACACGTACATAAACATGTTTTATTGATATTTTTTTATTGCGTATTGCAGCCTAAATAAATATTCACCGTTCAACCTTTCTCTTTAACCATCGGAAGTGTTTAAAAAATCATGCGTTATGCTGAACATTCTGTGTATTATGTACACACACGATATTAAAATTTATATATATGTATAAAATTGTAGGTAGTATTTTTTTGCAGACTTACAAAGTGCATTGGATTATATATTCCTTTATATATGTAACATTATTAATATTTCCTTTTATGTACATCAATAGAGATAACAAAGTTTTATGATGACTATTTTTCGTAATATTCCTATGAGCCATGGGATGTTATAGTATGTCAAATATTCTGAGGCCTTATTATAATCTTAGTCCATTGGAAATTATGCATTGTACTGAATTTTTCTGAATATCTCGAGAATGCATTAAGCTATTATCTAATAAAGTTCAGAAATGAGGGAGATTGTTATGAAATAAATCCAATGACTGACTGTAATTAAATAAAATAATACATGGGAGAATGTTCACTGTATGCTTCAGGTGCTATGGGGATGGTGTTACATTCTCATGACATGATGTAACATTAGTTAATATGAAAAACGCATTGGTGTTTCTCAACCGATAAATCATAGAACAATTCGGAAGACACTTATTAGAACATGTAATATGCAAGAGATATAAGAAAAGCCATCTTTATTCGCACAAGTCGACGAAATACGCTTATGGTTAAAAACATTTCTTTTTTTTTATATATATATTATACTTCACTGAAAATGTATTATATCTTTAAATCTTAAAATTTGTATAAGTCACAATTTCTTCCTTTAAGATGATACGTTAAATTTATTAAAAGCATTTTAATTTTATGTATAATGTATAGACATAAACGACATTAATAATACTCACAATAATAATAAAAATATATGTTAGATATACGGAATTTTTCCTTGTGAAACAGAATTTTCTCTTTCTTTCTCTTTCTCTAAAGAATTACTGCTTCGATTCTTTATCTGTAATGAATAAAGGTGACATTGCCTTAATGGATAGCACTTGTAATATTTAAAAGTTACTTAGAGCTTGTGTTGAGAAACACCGTATAGGATACATGAACATTATATATATATATATTATATATAAAAT